GCCACTACACTACATATACTTACACCTGCAATAGAGCAAAGAATTAATTACTCATCTGTTTCTGTCATACAAGACATATTTGATACTCCTGTTACTGAGTTTACATCACCAGAAACAGGAAAATTTTTTGCTCAGACACAATTTGTTTCTGATTTTGAAACTGCTTCTACACAACCTATGACTCTTGTATCTCAATCAGGATTGAGAGTTCACCATCCCTCTACACCTGTTTGTCCATTTGAGGCATATTCAACAGATTTTATACCATTGTCTGTTGAATCTGTATATGCCAAAATTCAAGTAATTCCTGAGCTTGCATATGCTGTAATGCAGCCAATAGTTCTTGTGTCTGAAAGTGGACAAAAAATTAATTACCCATATACTTCTGTCACTGAATATGATACTTCTGTCATAGAATTGAGCTCACCTGTTGTAGAGCCCTCTTTTGCTGAAACACGGCATGTTCCTGAGCTCAACAGTATTATTACGCAGCCAATGACAGTTGTGTATGAAGCAGGACAGAAAATTAACTATTCATCAAATTTAGTTATAGAAAATGACAAACTTGCTGAAGACTTCAGAATAGCTGTTCCAGAAGCCACTTATGCTTTAACAGCATTTGAACCCAACCTGGAAATTGCTGTTACACAACCCATTAGCATAATATCCAGCACAGGACACCACATAAATTATGCATCAATAGCTGTCTTGGAATACAACACACCACATGAATTCCTTCCCTTTGCCCCAGCCATAATGTATGCTAAAGAACTATTTGTTGCAGAACTATATTTTGCAACAAGTAAAGTAGTAGCTTTAGTGTCTCATTCTGGCCAAACAATAAGATACCCATTGACATCTACTACAGATCACAGTGCACTTACTGACATAATCATTGCACCTATTCCAGACAAACAGCATGCTACCACACAGATTGTTCCTGAATTAGAAACTGCATCTACTCAACCCATGCCATTCGTCTCAGAAGCTAGCTTCATAGTCAGACACTCATCACCATCTGTCCTAGAACCTGATACAAAACTTGAAGATTTCAACATTTCTGTCACTGAAATTGCTCATGCTGTAACATGTGTTGTACCTGATCTTAAATTTGCCTCTACACTGCCATTGACTGTTGTATCTGAGGCAGGACACAAAGTTCACTATCCATCTACCTCTGTGTATGACTTTGATGACTTGACAGAGGATCTTACAACACCTCAGGTGGAAGAAGGTAATGCTAGGACACTACAGGTACCTGCTTTGAAATCTGCAATCATGTTGCCAATGACACTTGTGTCTGAGGTTGGCCACAAAGTTCACTATCCATCCACTTCTATTGCTGAACATGACAGCATGACAGAAGCTTTCACACCTTTCACTACAGAAAAAACACATGCCAAGGTAGTGTACATACCTGATTTGGAATATGCCACAATACTGCCTCTAACAGTCATATCTGAGGCTGGATATAAAACCCATTATCCATATACCTCTTTCCTTGAATTAAATGATATTGCAGAGGATTTCATAGCATTCTTTGATGAAACGCAGCATGCTAAGACACTGCATATTCCTGCACTAGAATGTGCTTCAATATTACCAGTGACTGTTGTCTCTGAGGCTGGTCATAAGATTCATTACCCAACAGCTTCTGTCTTAGATCATGATGAAATGACAGAAGTTTTCATAGCACTGTCTCCAAAAGAAGTAAGTGCTAAAATGGTTTATATTCCTAAATTGGAATATGCAAAGGTATTGCCTATAACACTTGTGTCTGAGGCAGGTCTTAAAGTTTGTTATCCAGCAACGTCCATAACTGATCATGATGAGTTGGCAGAAATTTTCATAACACCTACCCATGAAGAAACACATGCTAAAGTGTTATATGTTCCTGAATTGGAATATGCTACACCATTACCCATGACACTTGTTTCTGAGTTAGGCCATAAACTTCATTATCCAACATATTCCACTGAACATTATATGATAACTGAAAGTTTCACATTACCTATTCAGGAAAAAATGCATGCTACAGTTCTGCATATCCCTAGACTGGAATATGCCACAGCATCACCTATGACACTTGTGTCTGAGGCAGGCTACAAAATCCACTATCCATCTACATTCACACTGGAATACAATGAAACATCAAAGATTATTGAAACATCTGTTCCAATGGAAGTCTGTGCTACAGAATCAGTTATTCCTAACCTGGAGTTTGCTTTACAAGAACACTTAACATTCATTTCAAATGCTGGACACAAGATTCAGTATCCTTCTACATCATCCTTGGAACAGGGCACTGTTGAGGATTTAGTTTCAACTGTTCCAGAAGGAATAAAGACAAAAATAACACAAATTCCTGAATTGGAATTTATCACAACACTACCTCTAACTTTTGTCACAGCACAGGGACAGAAAGTTCATTATCCACTGACACAAGTCCTGGAACATGAACATGACACCACAGAGGAATTCAGAACAATTACTCCAGAAACAGTTTATGCCACAACAATGCATGTTCCTGATATGAGAGTTGCTAACACAGAACCTATAAATATTGTCTCTGAAATTGGACTTATCACAAGATATCCAAGAGTTACTGTTATTGATGAATCACACAAAACAACAGAAATTACCTTCCCACAGATACAAAGAACTCATTCAACTGAAGTTATACATACACAGGATGCTCCAGAATTTGCATGTGCAACTGTTTCATCAATTACAGTGATGCCAGCTTCCACACCAACTACACATTATCCTACTTCAAAGGAAGAAACTTTTCTTCCTGATACTCCTTTAACCAGGCCCTCTGTCCCATTCCACACAGGCATGACATCAAGCCCATCCTCTACAGTTACCACATCTGAAGTGAAGACTGAAGATGTACAAGTACAGCAAGACATACAACAAACCAAACATGTACCTGAAACACAACACATTAAGTGGGGGGAAGATTTGCAAGAGAGTGAATCAGAGACATCAACCATTACTTTTACACCTGATAAACGGGATGATACAACAGTTAAAGAGTTAAAGAGTGTAATGAGCATTGAGTCTGTAGATGTTGACAGAACACCGGTGGATGCTTCTGATATCCAAGAGGCAACAGTACAGGACATATCTTTGAGGACTATTAAAAAACTGTCTAATAAAACAAGCGATGAAGAAGGATTGACTCATGAAGTCATGGTTGGTATTGGTGTAGAAGGCGGAACAATCAGAGAGGAAACCCAGGTAAATACCCTTGGCAAGCAAATTAAACCAAAAGAAGAATTTGAGTCCTCAGTTGATCTTCATATTGTACCTACACCTAAAGTTGCCTCTGGGAAAGAGTGGCAAGAGAAAACAACTATCTGTACAGAGGAAATAAGTGAGCAAGAAGATATTCAGAAGCCAAAACTGGGTAAAGTAATGGGTGAAACTACCAAAGACTTTACTGAAGAGTTTCTGCCAGATTTTGCTCAAACTTCAACGGAGCCTATATTGGGCTTTGCACAGGCTAGTTTCCCAACTGTACGTTCAGATGTCCCTGCTATAAGAATAAGAAGGACAGACCAGCATATTACAGTATCAGAAAGCAGGGATGATACAGAACAGTCAGATCTGCCACAGTTGGAAATTACTGAAATTGAAGAAGAAGTTGAAAGTCCTGCCACAGAATGCAAAGTTACTTTCCCAAGCACCCACCGTGGTTCTTTAATTGACATCTCAGCTCCAGCTGATGTGGATATAGTCCCACTTGCAGTAACTGAAACAGAAGAGACTCACACCAAAACACAGGAAAAAGACTTACAAGAGATGTTCTCAGAATGCATTCTTGAGCCAATCCCACAAACATTGACATGTAAGGCTGTGGAATCAAAAGTTGAATATAACAGGGCTTCAGTATCAGAGACACTTACATTTATAGGTCCATCTCCTACAAGGTCTACAAAGTCACAAACAATCCTAGTAGAAGAGGATGATGAACATACTTATACACAAACACCTACAGCTCCTGAGAAAAATCAGCAAAAATCTGAAACCGTGCAGATCACTGACATAACCACCACTGAAACAATGACCCAACCAACTCACAAACACGTCACTGTACATGAACTTAATACTCAACAAGAACAAGAGTCCACTAATATTATACCTACTTTTGCACCTTCCATAGAATCTACAGAAAAAGAGCAAAGGATAACAATAAAAGAGGAAACTACAGGGACAGATGAAATATTGCTTGAACAAACATCAATGTTTGAAAGCCAGAAACCTAAGCCCGAACAGGCAAAAACACTTTTTATGGAAGATGTTAAGAAATCGGTGACAGTGACTGAAAATCTGAGTGAAGAACAGCCAGCCCCATGGCATCGTGGAGAAAAAATTCACTTGAAGAAGCAGATCAGTATTACACCAGATGTTGTGGCTTCTGAATCTATACAGGTCACTGATACAAAAACTGAAGATACATACATTACCTTACAGACAGAAAAAGGAGAAGAAGTTACTGCTACAGTCACTGAAGAGCTTAAGGATTCAGTTACTGTTACAGAAAAGATTCCTGAAGAACAGCCTATGCCATGGAGAAGAGGGGAGAAGATACCATTCAAGACTGAAAATATCAAACCAGAACTGGTTTCTTTAGAACCACTTCAGGTTACTGATACTAAAGCTGAAGATACATATGTTGCCCTGAAAACTGAAAGAGGAGAACAAGTAAAGGCAACAGTCACAAAAGAACTCAAAGATTCCGTGACTGTGATGGAAAATATCCCTCAAGAACAGCCAATGGCATGGCAAAAGGGTGAGAAAATTCCATTTAAGACTGAGAACATAAAGCCTGAGTTAGTGTCCTCTGAGCCTCTTCAAGTTACTGATACTAAAGTTGAAGATACTTATGTACACCTACAACCAGAAAAAGCTACAAAAGCAAAGGCCACAATTACTGAAGATTTAAAGGACTCTTTAACTGTGACAGAAAAAATCCCAGAAGAACAGCCACTGGCATGGCAAAAGGGTGAGAAAATTCCCTTTAAGACTGAAAGCATAAAACCTGAGTTAGTTTCTTCTGAATCTCTTCAGGTTACTGATACTAAAGTTGAAGATAGTTATGTAAACCTAAAGCCAGAGAAAGGTGAGCCAGTAAAAGCCACAATATCAGAAGATTTGAGGGATTCACTAACTGTGACAGAAAAGATTGCAGAAGAACAACCAATGTCTTGGAGTAGGGGTGAGAAAGTTCCCTTTAAAACTGAGAGCATAAAACCTGAGTTGGTTTCCTCAGAATCTCTCCAGGTTACTGATACTAAAGTTGAAGATACCTACATGCATCTTCAGCCAGAAAAGAGTGAGCAAGTAAAAGCTACAATAATGGAGGATCTAAAGGACTCACTCACTATAACAGAAAAGATTCCAGAAGAACAACCAACTCCATGGAGAAGAGGTGAAAAGATGCCACTAAGAACTGAAAGCATCAGGCCTGAATTAGTTCCATCAGAATCATTGCAAGTAACTGATACTAAAACTGTAGATTCATGTGAAACTTTCCAGAGTGAAAAGGGGGAGGAAGCAAGAGCCACTGTAACTAAGGACCTAAAAGATTCTTTGACAGTTACAGAAAGGCTTCCTGAAGAACAACCTTCACCCCTGAAAAGGCCTCCAAGAGTAACAGCTGATTTAGCTCAGCACAAGTTGATGGTGATGGAACATGATTCACTTTCTATTACTGAAATATATGCTAAGGAAGGTGGCACTCAGTTTGAAACTGAAAAGGCAGATGTAGAGACAGCTGTTGGTATGCTGGAGCCACTTGAAGCACTTACTACAACAGATCACAGAAGTGAGGAAACTATTTCTCAGCTCTCAGACTTAATGAAACAGACACAAAAGGCAACAGTCATGGAACAAGATACTAAACAAACAATTCAGGTAACAGAACAAATTCCTCATGAAAGTATTGCAGATCTGAAGAAGGAAAAACAAATATTTGAGAGCCTCAAGTGTGGCCTGACTGGACAGAATGCTCCACAAGTTGAAGAGATTATAGTGCATGATGCAGAAGAGAAGTATGAATCTAAAGCACCTAAGAGTGAAACAACAAAACAGACAACAGTTACTAAACAATCAGAAGCTGTTATTATTGCTGAACCAAAACTGGAGGAGGACACTGTTCAGTGGGAAAAGCATGCAGAAAAACTAGAACAGGCAAAGCCCAACATATTAGAACAAAAGTATATTCAAATCTCTGAGATATTTAAGGCTGACAAGGAGGATGTTCTTCCTGAACAAGCACCATTACAACAGCAAGGCAGAATGACAGAAATGCAGCCTCTGGAAGCTCTTACCATACAAGGTCATGATGTTCAGGAAGATGCTGCATCATGGAAGTCTCGTATAGACAAGGAGCAAACCGCACGGGCATCCATCCTGGAAAAAATGTCTGTTAATGTCATGGAAACACAGCAACATGATTCATTTAAAGAATATAAGCCAGAAAAGCCAATTGAAGTGCAAGCTACACAAATGGAAGGTAGACGAGAAGCTATAGCTGTTTCAGAAACAAAAGCAGAATCTCCTATAAGAGAACTTCCAAAGGAAAACAAAATAGAACATCATGCATCTCTTATTCATTCCAAGAAATCATCTCTTGTTGTTTCTGCATCAGATGTCCAAGAGAGTGAAGCTCCCCTGAAGATTCGGAAGCCAGTAGAAGCACATTTAAAATCTAAAATAAATGGAGGGCTTGAACCTCTCCTTATCACTGAAGTGGAAAGTGAGGAAACTATTGGCAAAGTAGTTCCTAAAACATTGCCTGAAAAGGAAAGTGCAACAATTGAACTTACTCATGCAGCTAAGGTGGCTCTTTCATCTGGTGTACTAATAAATGAGTGTGAAGGATGGCATGAAGATGAAAAACCAGAAACACAGAAGGCCGAAGGGGTCTTGAGCACAGGGGAGGCTATAACTGTACTCGAAACACTTCCACAGTCTCTGGCTGAGGAACTTCCTGTTGCTCCCAAGCCAAAAGCTGAAGAAGGAATGGGATCTTTAATTCCATCAAAAACTGTGTCAGTCTCAGAGGTTATTTTGCATGAAAAAGAAGAGTCACTTATGGAAAAGAAGCCTGTTGAATTACATTTAAAATCTAAAATAAATGGAGGGCTTGAACCTCTCCTTATCACTGAAGTGGAAAGTGAGGAAACTATTGGCAAAGTAGTTCCTAAAACATTGCCTGAAAAGGAAAGTGCAACAATTGAACTTACTCATGCAGCTAAGGTGGCTCTTTCATCTGGTGTACTAATAAATGAGTGTGAAGGATGGCATGAAGATGAAAAACCAGAAACACAGAAGGCCGAAGGGGTCTTGAGCACAGGGGAGGCTATAACTGTACTCGAAACACTTCCACAGTCTCTGGCTGAGGAACTTCCTGTTGCTCCCAAGCCAAAAGCTGAAGAAGGAATGGGATCTTTAATTCCATCAAAAACTGTGTCAGTCTCAGAGGTTATTTTGCATGAAAAAGAAGAGTCACTTATGGAAAAGAAGCCTGTTGAATTACATTTAAAATCTAAAATAAATGGAGGGCTTGAACCTCTCCTTATCACTGAAGTGGAAAGTGAGGAAACTATTGGCAAAGTAGTTCCTAAAACATTGCCTGAAAAGGAAAGTGCAACAATTGAACTTACTCATGCAGCTAAGGTGGCTCTTTCATCTGGTGTACTAATAAATGAGTGTGAAGGATGGCATGAAGATGAAAAACCAGAAACACAGAAGGCCGAAGGGGTCTTGAGCACAGGGGAGGCTATAACTGTACTCGAAACACTTCCACAGTCTCTGGCTGAGGAACTTCCTGTTGCTCCCAAGCCAAAAGCTGAAGAAGGAATGGGATCTTTAATTCCATCAAAAACTGTGTCAGTCTCAGAGGTTATTTTGCATGAAAAAGAAGAGTCACTTATGGAAAAGAAGCCTGTAGAATTACATTTAAAATCTAAAATAAATGGAGGGCTTGAACCTCTCCTTATCACTGAAGTGGAAAGTGAGGAAACTATTGGCAAAGTAGTTCCTAAAACATTGCCTGAAAAGGAAAGTGCAACAATTGAACTTACTCATGCAGCTAAGGTGGCTCTTTCATCTGGTGTACTAATAAATGAGTGTGAAGGATGGCATGAAGATGAAAAACCAGAAACACAGAAGGCCGAAGGGGTCTTGAGCACAGGGGAGGCTATAACTGTACTCGAAACACTTCCACAGTCTCTGGCTGAGGAACTTCCTGTTGCTCCCAAGCCAAAAGCTGAAGAAGGAATGGGATCTTTAATTCCATCAAAAACTGTGTCAGTCTCAGAGGTTATTTTGCATGAAAAAGAAGAGTCACTTATGGAAAAGAAGCCTGTTGAATTACATTTAAAATCTAAAATAAATGGAGGGCTTGAACCTCTCCTTATCACTGAAGTGGAAAGTGAGGAAACTATTGGCAAAGTAGTTCCTAAAACATTGCCTGAAAAGGAAAGTGCAACAATTGAACTTACTCATGCAGCTAAGGTGGCTCTTTCATCTGGTGTACTAATAAATGAGTGTGAAGGATGGCATGAAGATGAAAAACCAGAAACACAGAAGGCCGAAGGGGTCTTGAGCACAGGGGAGGCTATAACTGTACTCGAAACACTTCCACAGTCTCTGGCTGAGGAACTTCCTGTTGCTCCCAAGCCAAAAGCTAAGAAGCAACAAAGAGTTTTGAAGAACAAAAGGCAATAACTATTACTGAGACTGGCATGCATGAAAAAGAAGAGTCACTTATGGAAAAGAAGCCTGTAGAATTACATTTAAAATCTAAAATAAATGGAGGGCTTGAACCTCTCCTTATCACTGAAGTGGAAAGTGAGGAAACTATTGGCAAAGTAGTTCCTAAAACATTGCCTGAAAAGGAAAGTGCAACAATTGAACTTACTCATGCAGCTAAGGTGGCTCTTTCATCTGGTGTACTAATAAATGAGTGTGAAGGATGGCATGAAGATGAAAAACCAGAAACACAGAAGGCCGAAGGGGTCTTGAGCACAGGGGAGGCTATAACTGTACTCGAAACACTTCCACAGTCTCTGGCTGAGGAACTTCCTGTTGCTCCCAAGCCAAAAGCTGAAGAAGGAATGGGATCTTTAATTCCATCAAAAACTGTGTCAGTCTCAGAGGTTATTCTGCATGAAAAAGAAGGAGTACATGAAGCAGACAAGTTCCCTACTATTTCTTTACCCAGTCAAACACAAGCACCAAATATCCCATTAGTTGTACAAGAGACTCATACAGATTCAAGTTTGTCTGAACTGGCTCAGCAGAAAATGTTGCCATCACAGTCAGCTTCAGTGTCTCTTACTGCTCATGTCATTGCTTCTTCTACAGCAGTAGGCATTAGTGAGAAAGAAGGTGTATATAAAAAAGAGAAACCAATAGAAGATCTTGCAAATGTGGAATATGAAAGTGAAAAAGTCCCCATTCAAGTAAGTGAAACAAGAGCAGAGTCACCAGTGAAAGATTTTAAGGATATTAAGCCAGAGAATGCACAGGCAAGGCCAGATATCATACCTCAGAAAGCTATTGCTGTATCTGAAATGGAATCTAAAGAAAAAGAAGGAACTCTTGAAATTAAGAAGCCATCAACAATTTCACTGAAGTCTGATATCACGCAACCTTTGCATTCACTGACTGTATCTGAAATCAGTGCAGAAAGTAATATTCATATGTTAGATATAGATAAGATTAATGAAGAACAGGCTAAGACAAGTCATATTCCACATCATGCTACTGCTGTTAGTGAACCATTTGTGCATCAGAAAGAACAGGATTATACCCAGCCAAAGCCACTTTCTGCTGAACCAAAGGAATCATGTGCTCCGGGTCATGAATCAGTTCAAATAACAGAAACAAGAGCAGAGTCCCCCATTACAGACAGAGATGAAAAAGAAACTATAAAAAGCAAAGCTAAAAGTCAAGTCATCCCACAAGATACAGTACAGGTGCATGAAGTAAGGGTTCATGAATCGGAAGGAGACTTTAAATTAAGTAAGCCAGAGGAATCAACTGGTATAGTAAATCGCACCCCAGGCCATATAGTTGCAATTTCTACAAATGTTGAATTATCTGAAAGCATCCAGAAAATGGAAGATGCAGGGAAATTGGAAGGTAAAACTGCAAAAATGACCATAAATCCGCAACAAGCTGCAGAAGTTATACAACATGATGTGAGTGAGGCTGGAAAAGTGTTAAAAGAAGTGAAACCAGATGAAAAGAAAGCAATGCCCAATATAGAAGAAATGCAATCTGTGTCAGTTTTGGAAATTAGTGCAGAAACCAAGGAACAAAATTATGACATTAAAGAATTACCATCAGTACATAATGTTGAAGCCAAACCAGTTATTACTCCCCTTCACCTTGCTCATGTCAACCATCCCGAGGTAGCAGAGCAGGAAGGGATTGTCCCTACATTTGACACCACTGGTACTAGTCATGCAAAACTTGAATTTACACCACACACTTCAAAATTAGTGATTCAGCAACAACCTAATATACTTACAGGCATATTAAAATCAGAACAACCTATTCATGCCTCAGGCAAGGTGGTAATGGAGCCAGCTGCCCATGTCTCAGGTTCGGAAGAAGTTGTTATTGAAACAATTGAGGAAACCGCATCTAAAGTCACACCACAAGCTATGCAGGCTCGTCGTCTTCTAGATACACAACAGACTATTTCTGTTATGCAAGTCTCTGCTTTTAATCAAGCAGAGGCAATGGGTAAAGTTGCTATGCCATTGGCAGCAACAGCAAAGACTGTCCAAACAACTCAACAAAGCATTAATGTTCATGAAGCTGATTTAAGAGAATCATCATCTAGTGTCACTCCTGAAAAAACTACAGAACAAAAAGCGACTGCTGTGTTTGATCAAAGAGAACATGTTACAGTTTCTGAAGTAAAGTCAGATGAACTTCCAGCTGAAATGAAGCATGTGAGGATTGAAGGTAAAGCTTTACCTGTAGTGAAGCCTCATGAAACTGTCACTGTTTCATCTGTTACTGTAGCAGAAAATTATGAAGAGTCAAAGCATCCAACACCACGAATGGAACAGGCTCAGCCTATTGCAATGCCCCAGGATTATGTCTCAGTTGAGGAGACTAAAGTTCATGAAAGTTCAGGAGAAATAAAAATCAAGCAGCCAATGGAAGAAAGAGCTACAACTTCTGTATCAAAGCGTGAATCTGTCATGATTTCTGAAGTAAAGACAGAGGAAAAACCAGTTTCCATAAGAGAAAGAAGACCTTCCCAGGAAAGAGCTAAGCCAGCTGTTGTGAGACAAGAGCATGTAATTGTATCAGAGACATCAACAGTTGAAGCACCTGGATTTGTAAAACATCGCAGACCTTCTGAAGACAGAGCTAAAACAATTCTTTCCCAAAAACAGTCAGTTATTGTTTCAGAAGTTCAGTCAGAAGAAGCTCCTAAATCTACAAAGCAAAGAACTCCATCACAAGAAAGGGCAAGACAAGTAATGTCAGAAAAGGAATCTTTTGTTGTTCAAGAGGTTAAAGTACATGAACTTCCAAAAGATCTTCCAAAGGCCAAACCCAAGGAGGATAAGGCTAAGAGAGTTATTCCTCAACAGGAATCCATCTCAGTTCAAGAGACTCAAGTCGAGGTACACACTGGAGACATTTCACATGAAAAGCCAAAAGAAGAAAAAGCAAAGAAGATATTTGAAAAGCGTTCATCAGTGGCTGTATCTGAAGTCTCTAGTCATGAAATGGCTGTGAAGATGCCTGATTATAAGCCTCAGAAGACTGAGTCCGCAAAAGCAAAAATGGACCATATGGAAGTTGTAAGTATTTCTGAAGTAACCCCTGATGAAGCTCCTCACATTGTACCTGAAGAGAAAAGAAAAACAGAAACTGCTACTATGATTCTCCCTCAAATGAAGGAGACAATACAGATCACAGAGGTCTCTACTGAGGAAACACCACACAGTGTAGTTCATGCTAAGAAGAATGAACAGTATGCACAAGTAGTCCTTAAACCAACAGAATCAATAAGTGTCTCTCATACACAAGTACATGAATCTACTGATGAAGTACGGAAGTTAAAGCATGTGGAAGAAAGGGCTCAGACCATCCTTCCTCAACAAGATTCAATTACAGTTCAAGAGATAAATGTAAAGGAAGAACCAGAAGAAGTAAGGGAACACAGACCTAAAACTGAAACAGCAAAATCTATACTTTCACCTCGACAATCAATTGCAGTGGAAGAGATAACTGTGAAGGAAAGTCCTGGGTCAGTATCTGAAGTTAAGCCAAAAACTCAACAAGCTACATCAGTTCTCTCTGAGCACGAGTCCATCACTATCCAGGAAGTTAGTGTTAAAGAATCTCCTGGTAATATAAAGGATATAAAGCCAAAAACGGGAACAGCAGAGACTATCTTTACAACTCAAGATTCTATTGCTGTTCAAGAAGTTTCAGTGAAGGAGGCACCTGGTTCTGTTAAAGATGTAAAACCCAAAGCAGAACTGGCTACAGCCATCATTTCCCCTCATGAATCATTGACAGTTCAAGAAGTATCTGTTAAAGAAGCACCAGGTGACATGAAAGAAGCAAAACCAAAGCATGAACAAGCCTCTTCAGTTTTAACTCCTCTGGAATCCATCAATGTTCATGAGGTTTCAGTGAAGGGTGCTACTGGATCTTTGAAAGATTTACTCATAAGTACAGAGCAAGCTTTAGCTAAGATATCTCCTCATGAATCAATAACAGTTGAGGAGGTTTCTGTTAGGGAAGCTCCTGGCTCAGTGAAAGATGCAAAACCTAGGACAGAAATGGCAACATCAATAATTTCTCCTCATGAGTCAATCACTGTGCAAGAGGTATCTGTGAAGGATGCTCCAGGAGAGGTCAAGGACAAAAAGCCAAAGCATGAGCAAGCTTTATCTGTGCTCTCTCAACAAGAATCCATTAGTGTCCATGAGGTGTCTGTAAAAGATGCCCCAGGAACACTGAAGGATTTGAAATTAAGCCCAGAACAAGCCTCTTCAGTTTTAACTCCTCTGGAATCCATCAATGTTCATGAGGTTTCAGTGAAGGGTGCTACTGGATCTTTGAAAGATTTACTCATAAGTACAGAGCAAGCTTTAGCCAAGATATCTCCTCATGAATCAATAACAGTTGAGGAGGTTTCTGAAAAATCATAATTTCTCTCATGAGTCAATCACTGTGCAAGAGGTATCTGTGAAGGATGCTCCAGGAGAGGTCAAGGACAAAAAGCCAAAGCATGAGCAAGCTTTATCTGTGCTCTCTCAACAAGAATCCATTAGTGTCCATGAGGTGTCTGTAAAAGATGCCCCAGGAACACTGAAGGATTTGAAATTAAGCCCAGAACAAGCCTCATCTATCATTTCGCCACATGAATCAATTACTGTTGAAGAAGTTTCTGTTAAAGAAGCTCCTGGTTCTATGAGAGATGCAAAGCCTAAGACAGAAATGGCAACATCAATAATTTCTCCTCATGAGTCAATCACTGTGCAAGAGGTATCTGTGAGGGATGCTCCAGGAGAGGTCAAGGACAAAAAGCCAAAGCATGAACAGGCTTTATCTGTGCTCTCTCAGCAAGAGTCCATCAGTGTGCATGAAGTATCTGTAAAAGATGCCCCAGGAACACTGAAGGATTTGAAGCTAACCCCAGAACAAGCCTCATCTATTATTTCTCCTCATGAGTCCATCACAGTAGAAGAGGTTTCTGTAAAGGAAGCTCCAGGTTCTATGAGTGATGCAAAGCCTAAGACAGAAATGGCAACTTCAATTATCTCTCCTCATGAGTCAATCACTGTACAAGAGGTATCTGTGAGGGATGCTCCAGGAGAGGTCAAGGACAAAAAGCCAAAGCATGAACAGGCTTTATCTGTGCTCTCTCAACAAGAATCTATTAGTGTCCATGAGGTATCTGTAAAAGATGCCCCAGGAACACTGAAGGATTTGAAGCTAACCCCAGAACAAGCCTCATCTATTATTTCTCCTCATGAGTCCATCACAGTAGAAGAAGTTTCTGTGAAGGAAGCCCCTGGATCTATGAGAGATGCAAAGCCTAAGACAGAAATGGCAACTTCAATTATTTCTCCTCATGAGTCAATCACTGTGCAAGAGGTATCTGTGAGGGATGCTCCAGGAGAGGTTAAGGACAAAAAGCCAAAGCATGAACAGGCTTTATCTGTGCTCTCTCAGCAAGAGTCCATCAGTGTGCATGAAGTATCTGTAAAAGATGCCCCTGGAACACTGAAGGATTTGAAGCTAACCCCAGAACAAGCCTCATCTATTATTTCTCCTCATGAGTCCATCACAGTAGAAGAGGTTTCTGTGAAGGAAGCTCCAGGTTCTATGAGTGATGCAAAGCCTAAGACAGAAATGGCAACTTCAATTATCTCTCCTCATGAGTCAATCACTGTACAAGAGGTATCTGTGAGGGATGCTCCAGGAGAAGTAAAAGAGAAAAAGCCAAAGCATGAGCAGGCTTTATCTGTGCTCTCTCAGCAAGAGTCCATTAGTGTGCATGAGGTATCTGTAAAAGATGCCCCTGGGTCTTTGAAAGATTTGAAACTAAGCCCAGAACAAGCTTCTTCTGTTATTTCTCCTCATGAATCAATTACAGTAGAAGAGGTTTCTGTGAAAGAAGCACCTGGCTCAGTTAAGGATATAAAACCAAAGACTGAAATGGCTACCTCCATCATATCTCCTCATGAATCTATAACAGTAGAGGAGGTAACTGTAAAGGATGCCCCAGGAGAAATGAAAGACAAGAAATTAAAGCATGAGCAAGCCACTTCAGTCTTTTCTCCACAAGAGTCAATTAGTGTCCATGAAGTATCAGTAAAAGATGCACCAGGATCCATGAAAGATTTCAAACTGAAAACAGAACAAGCTTCATCAGTAATATCTCCACACGAATCTGTCACAGTGGAAGAAGTATCTGTAAAAGGGGCATCAGCAGATTTCAGTGATAGGAAACCACAGTCTGAGACTGCAACATCAGTATTTTCTCCACAGGAGTCTATTGCTGTCCACGAGGTGTCAGTGAAGGATGCCCCAGGTTCTTTGAAAGATCTAAAATTCAAAACTGAGCAGGCATCTTCAGTCATAGCTCCACATGAGAGTGTCACAGTGCAAGAGGTGTCTGTAAAGGAAACATTTACTGATATTACAGACAAAAAACCCAAAACTGAAACAGCAACATCACTATTGTCAACAAAGGAATCAATAGCCATTCATGAAGTTTCAGTAAGGGATGCACCAGGTTCAATGAAAGATTTAAAACTTAAAACTGAACAAGCAACATCCAGCATATCTCCTCATGAGTCCCTGACTGTAGAGGAAGTGTCTGTAAAAGAGGCATCAGCAGACCTCAGTGAACGAAAACCAAAAACAGAAAAAGCAACATCAATTCTTTCTCCTCAGGAATCCATATCTATCCAAGAAGTATCTGTTAGAGATGCTACAGGATCTATGGCAGATATTAAACCAAAGACTGAACAAGCAACATCTAGTATTTCTCCCCATGAATCGATCACGGTAGAAGAAATAACAGTGAAAGAAGCTCCAGGAGATGTAAGTGATAAAAAGCCAAAGACGGAGAAAGCTACTTCAATATTCTCACCACAAGAATCCATTGCTGTTCATGAAGTGTCTGTTAAGGATACTACAGGCTCAATGAAAGACTTAAAACTGAAAAAAGAACAAGCTTCATCAGTAATTTCTCCTCATGAATCACTTACCATAGAAGAAGTATCAGTGAAGGAAACATCTAAAGAGCTTAGTGATGAAAAACCAAAAACAGGACTGGCAACCTCAATCTTTTCTCCTCAAGAATCCATTGCCGTTCATGAAGTATCTGTGAAGGATGCTCCAGGATCCCTTAAAGATTTAAAATTCAAGACAGAACAAGCTTCATCTGTCCTTTCTCCTCATGAGTCTCTTACAATTGAAGAAGTATCTGTGAAGGAAGCATCAGGAGATCTGAGTGATAAAAAACCAAAGACAGAGGTAGCAACATCTATATTCTCTCCACAGGAATCTATTTCTGTCCATGAAGTATCTGTGAAAGATGCTCCAGGTTCTATGAAAGATCTGAAACTGCAAACAGAGAAAGCATCTTCTGTCATAGCCCCTCATGAGTCTGTTACAGTTGAAGAGGTATCTGTCAAAGAAACATCTGGAGACATTAGTGAAACAAAACCAAAAACAGAAACAGCAACTTCAATTTTCTCAACTCAAGAATCTATTGCTATTCACGAGGTGTCTGTGAAAGATGCCCCAGGATCAATGAAAGATTTGAAATTCAAAACTGAACAAGCATCATCTACAATTTCTCCTCATGAATCTGTTACAGTTGAAGAAGTGTCTGTTAAAGAAACATCCGGAGATATTGAAGAGAAGAAACCTAAAACGGAAAAAGCTACTTCTATTCTTTCTCAACAGGAATCCATTAGTATACATGAAATTTCTGTTAAAGATGCTCCAGGTTCCATGAAGGACTTGAAGCCAATTACAGAGAAAGCATCAGCTACTATTGCACCACACGAATCGGTAACAATTGAAGAGGTTTCAGTCAAGGAAGCATCACAAGATCTGGACACCCTAAAGCCAAAACCAGAACTTGCAAAATCTGTTTTGTCACCAAAAGAATCGATAGCAGTTCAGGAAATTTCAGTAAAGGAGGCACCAGGTGACATAGAAACTTTGAAGCCCAAATCAGAAAAAGCACGAGTTACTGTAACAAAGAAAGATTCCCTTCAGGTTCTAGAAGTTGCGTCTGAGCTTGCTCCAGACACTATACCAGAAAGTCACATGATTGGAGACAAGGCAAAGGTAATTGTCACAGAGGATCTCCAACGGGCAGATCAGGAAGATGTTATTGTGCTACGAGGTCCAAAGAAAGAAAAGAAGGTCATTGAAGTAGTGGAGGAATCAGATGAAGAAGTTCCAGTTATAAAGAAAGAAAAGAAGGAAGAAACAATTGAGGAAAAAGTGAGTGAACCAGAAGAGATTGAAGAAGTTACTGAAGAAGTAGAAGTTAAGATGAAGCCAAAGAAGAAGCCAAAGATCCAGACTGAAGAGACTGAAGAAGTTGTTCTTAAGAAACCTGAGGAGAAAATACTTGAAGAAACCACAGAAGATGTGCAAGTAAAAATCAAACCAAAGAAAGAGCCTAAAGAAGAGGAAGAACAAACTGCTGAGGAAGTAATAATAAAGAAAGATAAGAAAAAGGAAGAGATCATTGAGGAAGTCTCAGAAGATGTAACAGTTAAAAAGAAACCAGAAAAGAAGCCTGAAGAAAAAGTTGTTGAAGAAGTTACAGAAGAGGTGCAAGTTAAGATGAAATCAAAGAAAAAGCCTGAAGTCAAGACTGAAGACATTACTGAGGAAGTGACAGTCAAGAAACCTGAAGAAAAGAAGCCTGAAGAAAAGGTCGTTGAAGAGGTCACTGAAGAGGTGCAGATCAAGATGAAGCCAAAGAAGAAGCCTGAAGTCAAGACCGAGGAGATTGCTGAAGAAGTGACGCTGAAGAAGCCTGAGGAGAAACCTGAAGAAAAGGTCATTGAAGAGGTCACTGAAGAAGTACAGATTAAGATGAAACCAAAGAAAAAGCCTGAAGTCAAGACCGAGGAGATTGCTGAAGAAGTGACTCTGAAGAAGCCTGAGGAGAAGCCTGAAGAAAAGGTCATTGAAGAGGTCACTGAAGAGGTACAGATTAAGATGAAGCCAAAGAAGAAGCCTAAAGAGATTGCTGAGGAAGTGACACTGAAGAAGCCCGAGGAGAAACCTGAAGAAAAGGTCGTTGAAGAGGTCACTGAAGAGGTACAGATTAAGATGAAACCAAAGAAAAAGCCTGAAGTCAAGACTGAGGAAATTGCTGAGGAAGTGACTCTGAAGAAGCCTGAGGAGAAACCTGAAGAAAAGGTTGAAGAAGTTACTGAAGAGGTTCAGATTAAGATGAAGCCAAAGAAGAAACCAGAATTTAAGACCGAGGAGATTGCTGAGGAAGTGACTCTGAAGAAGCCCGAGGAGAAACCTGAAGAAAAGGTCGTTGAAGAGGTCACTGAAGAGGTGCAGATCAAGATGAAGCCAAAGAAGAAGCCTGAAGTCAAAACGGAAGAGATTACTGAAGAAGTGACGCTGAAGAAGCCTGAGGAGAAACCTGAAGAAAAGGTTGTTGAAGAGGTCACTGAAGAGGTACAGATTAAGATGAAGCCGAAGAAGAAGCCTGAATTTAAGACTGAGGAGATTGCTGAGGAAGTGACTCTGAAGAAGCCTGAAGAGAAACCTGAAGAAAAGGTCGTTGAAGAGGTCACTGAAGAGGTGCAGATCAAGATGAAGCCAAAGAAAAAGCCTGAATTTAAGACTGAGGAGATTGCTGAGGAAGTGACTCTGAAGAAGCCTGAAGAGAAACCTGAAGAAAAGGTCGTTGAAGAGGTCACTGAAGAGGTACAGATTAAGATGAAGCCAAAGAAGAAGCCTGAATTTAAGACCGAGGAAATTGCTGAGGAAGTGACACTGAAGAAGCCTGAGGAGAAACCTGAAGAAAAGGTTGTTGAAGAGGTTACTGAAGAGGTGCAGATCAAGATGAAGCCAAAGAAGAAGCCTGAATTTAAGACTGAGGAGATTGCTGAGGAAGTGACTCTGAAGAAGCCTGAGGAGAAACCTGAAGAAAAGGTCGTTGAAGAGGTCACTGAAGAGGTACAGATTAAGATGAAGCCAAAGAAGAAGCCAGAATTTAAGACAGAGGAGATTGCTGAGGAAGTGACTCTGAAGAAGCCCGAGGAGAAACCTGAAGAAAAGGTCGTTGAAGAGGTCACTGAAGAGGTGCAGATCAAGATGAAGCCAAAGAAGAAGCCTGAATTTAAGACCGAGGAAATTGCTGAGGAAGTGACACTGAAGAAGCCTGAGGAGAAACCTGAAGAAAAGGTTGTTGAAGAGGTTACTGAAGAGGTGCAGATCAAGATGAAGCCAAAGAAGAAGCCTGTGACCAAAGAAGAAGAGGTTTCAGAAGAAGTTACAATACAACAACCAAAAGAAAAGGTAGTTGAGGATATTACAGAAGAAGTGAAAATAAAAATGAAACCAAAGAAAGGACCAGAAAAGAAGACTGAGGAAATTACCGAAGAAGTAACAATTAAGACAACTGAGGAGCAACCTGAGGAGAAAGTCTATGAAGAGGTTGTAGAAGAAGTTCAGTTCAAATTGAAGCCTAAAATGAAACCAAAGACTGAATATGAGGAAATATCTGAAGAGGTGACAATCAAGAGAAAGCCTCAAGAAAAGGTGGAAGAGGTGACTGAAGATGTGCACATTAAGATGAAGCCTAAACAACCAGAAAAGTTTGAGGATGTATCTGAAGAACTCACAATAAGGAAGGATGAACCCATAGAAAAAGTAGCTGAAGAAGTGACTGAGGATGTGCATATTAAATTCAAACCAAAAAAGAAGGAACCCATAAAACATACAGAGGAAATAAATGAAGAACTTACAATAATCAAAGAACAAGAGCCATCTGAGGAAGTACAGGAGGAGGATGTTGAAGATGTTCAGATTATACGAAAACCCAAAAGAAAGGCTGTTGTCAAAGAGGAAATTTCTGAGGAATTTGTCATCCAGAAACCTAAAAAAACAGAAGAACCAGCTGAAGAAGTTACTGAAGAATTTGAGGTTAAGAGACCTAAACCCAAGAAGCCAGAGGATGTCTCAGAAGAATTTGTAATGAAGGAGGAATCACCAGAACCAACTGTGGCTGAGGAAATAACTGAAGAAGTTAGTATCAAAATGAAACCAAAGAAGAAGAAGCCATTTGTAACAGAGGAAATAAGTGAGGCTGTGACTCTTAAGAAACCAAGGGACAAAGAAGAAGAGCCAGAAGAAGTAAGTGAATCTGTTGTTCTGAAGAGGAAAGAAAAACCGTTTGTGAGAGAGACTCAGGAGATTTCTCAAGAGGTTGA